CACACACACACACACACACACACACACACACACTATTAATCAGTGAGTTTAAAGGAGACGAGATAAAAGACGACGACGAGTTTTACAAGGAACAAGTGATGAAGGTGAAAAATAATGGAGGAAGAACAAAGAGACGAAGAGAAGAGAGGAAGAGGAGAAAATTGAAGGAAGGATGGTTGGATGTATGGCTCTATGGTTGGCTATATGGTTGGATGTACAGTTGGATGGTTGGATGCCTCCTCACCTGCAGCATGAGCTCGCAGTCCTCGCGGCCGACGAAGATCATCTCCTTGGGGAGGCGGTGCCGCGTGCCGGAGCTGCTCACCAGGAACCATGACGTCACGCTCATCTTCACAGGCCTGCCGACAAACCGCAGTGCATCCTGGGAAATGGAGGCCACACCCACAAACAGCCTGAACTACATCCTGCAGCAGGGATCCTGAACCCACGCTGTCATCGATAAAAACAGTTTCGCTCCACTGACGGTCCGACCCGGACGGGCGGGTTCAAGTCGACCCACCGGGATCACAGACCGAACCATAGAATCGTCCTCTGAGGTCCGATTGGTTTCAGAAACACGTTTAATCTGCTGCAGATTGTAACAGGTTTGTATTTAACACTCTGGATTGATTGATTTACAGCTTTAGGCCACGCCCCTTTGGTTCTGAAACGCTCCAGGTCCGCGATCTGAACGGACTGAGTTGGATCCGTTTTGGTTCTGTGAGGATCTGAGTGGAGCTGCTGACTGGACCATGAGCTCCAGCTGGTTCTGGGTCCAAACCAGACCAGATCATCACCAGAACCACCAACCCAAACACAGCAGCTGATCCTAAACAAAATGGCCAAAAAAGGGTCAAACTGTTACAATGGCCTAGTCAAAGTCCTGATTAAAATACCAGAGGCCCAATAAAGCCTTGACTCTGTTCCGGTGATTTAAAGAATCATCCAGGTTTCTGCGCCTCAACCATCAGCGGAGCTTTAAGAACTGAGCGGAAACTAACCTGTCATACGTCACACCACGTGACCTTCCTGAACCTGACTGGATGCAACCTGGCAGCGCTGTCTGCTCATATCTGTCACATCATCATCATCATCAACATCATCATTTCAACTGAGCCACGCAAACGCGCACGCGCGGCCGCCGTAGGATCCGAGCGGCTGGTCCAGCTCCTCCCAGCGGGCCGCGGGCTCTGATCTGCGGCGGCCCGGCCGGGATGCGCCGCCTCCGGCTGCAGTCATCCCAGACAGTCCGGTCCCAGCCCCCCCTCCTCCACGCCCTGTCCTCCTCTTCCTCCTCTTACCTCCGCTCCAGATGCCGCCGCTCCCCGCCGCTGTCCTGCGTTAGGATCCCGCACTGCCGCACTGCGGGGCGGGTGGAGCATGGGAGGCGACCCGCAGGGCCGGAGCTCGGACGAGGTTCGGGTCTCTGCTGGGGGTTCGCTCTCTGGTCCTGATGCTGCTGCTGTTATGGCATCTCTCCGCCCGTCTCCTCCTGACGCACCAGCGGCAACCCGCTGCGTCAAGACGCACCGCGTTAGCGCCTACGACACCGGAAGAGCCCCAACGCGGCCTTCAAATTAAAAGACTGCCCACAATTATGCATTTTCATTACATACGAGATGTTTTATTATTTAGGATAATTTTAATGTATGTATTTAAAGGTAAATTAAAAATGATAATGGAAAATTAATTGTGGCAAAAATAATAAAACAAGAATATTAAAGAAAAGAATTAATCTGTTTAGTGATAAATCCCATTATCACTAAATAACGGATAAAATGCATCACTAATGATATATTTTAAGATAGTATATTTTACTTTATAAAATATCCATCCATCCGTTTTCTTACGCCCTTGTCCCTGGTGGTCAGGCGGTGCTGGTGCCTCTCCAGGAAGAGGCAGGTCACCTGGACAGGTCACCTGGACAGGTCACCTGGACAGGTCACCTGGACAGGTCACCTGTCCATCACAGATAAAATATACTTTATTAAATATATTAATTTTATCAAATAGCTTGTATGTATTCTATTAAACGAAAAACTAATTTAATTAAACAAAATTAACTAAACATTTTAAAAAATTATTGAAATAATTCCCAACGATCCCAAAGGGAAATTAAAAGTTGCTGTTCCACATGAATTCAAATTCTTCAAAAAATTATTGTATTTAAACACTAAAACACAGCAGCGACATATTTCATACATCTGATTTTGATCATTTTGTTACATTTCTTAGTTTACTAATTATTTCATTGACATACTTTTATGTCCCATATATTTTTTTCATATTATGTGTTTAAATGTCTTGCAGACTGAAAGAGGAGCTCCTAGAAGTTTATTTATTTTCAACGTTTCTGTTTGTAAAAAAAAAGAGAGAGAAAGAAAGAAAAGAAAACCAGAGTCAAGCTTGTAGGTTGTTTGAGCTGTAGGTCGATATGAATGGATCTGTGCTCTTATTGTGAAGACAGTCACACTTCCGGTCTCCACAGTCGGCGCTCTAATTTACGTCCCGCATCTCGTTCAACAGGACAAACACAGAGCGTCTCCATCAATAAAACTATTGATATCTTCATTATCAGTGAAACTCCCAGCTGGAGTCACGTGACTCGTCAATGAAGCTCAGCTTGGCATTACGTCACCTCACTGTTGACACGAGGACGCAGCTTGTTGGTGGTGATGATGTCATTGATACTGAAGCGAAACGTCACAACCTGCTGAAGGTCCGGCAGGTCCGACCAGAGGCGGCGGGAGGCTGGACGCGGCCCTGGGCGGCCGAACCGATTATGATTAATAATTATTTTAAAACTGGGGGAAGAAATGAAAGAAAAATAATCTGTAACATGAGTAAACATGAAGGACCAGGTGCTGCCATACAAGACAAAAATATATAAATATGTTCCATCTAAAATGACCTTAGTGGTAAAACCCATATTTATTTATTTGTTCCTCAGTTTTCAGTCATATTTACGCATTTATCTCCCCATCATTCATTCCAGCATTTTTATTTTTAATCTTTTCAAATTGTTTTGTAAAATCAACTAGTGATAATATTGACACAATAGTGATTGTTTTTAATTCCAGACATTTATATTTACAATATTTTCTTGATATTTTCATGAATAAATCACTTCATACAGTAAAATTTAAATTAAAAGCCAAATATGCATCTATAAAACATAAAATAAATGTAGAAGATGGTTTATATAAGGATATGATGCACAAATAAATAAATGCAGGAAGAAGAAAAATATTCAGAAATAAATATGTGGTTAAAAATAGATCACAAAATAAAATATAAAAGGTCAAATAAAACATAAAAGTGATAAATTTGGTATTTATCAATTTTATGTATAAAATGATACAGAAATGCATATATTGATTTAAAAAAAACTACATTTATTTTCTTGATTTAAAGTCAAGTTATGTTAGTTAAGTAAATTTTAACAATTAGAAAATAAAATAGGGTTAAGGTTACCCTAACCCATATATACTTATCCAAATCTTGATTCTAAGAAATTTAATTAATCCCCATAAGAAAGACGAAGAGACAAGTTTAATGCAAAGAGTATATAGATATTTATTTATCGTTTTACTGGTTCAGCAAATTTAACATTTAATTTTGTGTCTTTTTAGCGTAAAAAATCCAGAAGAATGTGAAAATCCTGATCAGACTGGAAATCCTGCAGATTTAACAAACCATCAGATGGAGTTTTATTGTGACAGGCTGCAGGACAGGAAGTTAAATGCAGTAACAGGAAATGGAGATCACTCCCACACTTCATCACCTGACTGAGTTCAACGTTCACCGTCTGGTTTTACCCAGAATCCCCTGATCTGAGATCTGATCTGATCTTCAACCAATGAAACCAGGGCAAATCGGAGGTCCCGCCCACATCCGCTCACCTGACTGCTCAGGTAATCTGCATTAGCACACCGACGCTCACTGAACCAGAAACCAGAAACCCTACTCTCTGCTCTCCATGTACAGTTTTTATTCCACTTCAGATCTTTCCTGTTGCCATGGAGACGGGTCCTCCTCTGCTCACCTGGAATCATAAAAGAAAAACAATAAGTCATGACAACGTCCAGATGTTATTCCCTGACCTGCCAGGCTGAGGCGACGCGCCACCAGCCAGAAGCTTGAAACGGAAAATCTCAACGTAGAAAAACAAAAAAAGAAAATAAAATCAAACACCTGTATGATGATGTCACAACCAATGACATCACACAGATGGACTCACCTCACTGTACAACGCATCCTTTCTTCTGCTTGGGGCTTTGGGATCTGACGCAGTCATCGAGTCCTGCAACAAAAAGGGACGATTGGATTGGTCGGTTTGTGGCTGAACAGAACCGTTTGGTTCTGGCAGGTTCGGTCCGGTTCGTTCCAAGATACGCAGCAGAACCAGGAATCCCTGGAGCCAAAGGAACCAGGAGCCTCATGAACAAACAGTTGAAGCGCTTCCTAATAAAACATGGAGGATTCTTCACATCAGATTGCAAAAACAACAGTTAGCAAAACTTAAAAACTGAAACAGGAGCGAAAAATCAAACCTAAAGAATCAATTCCTGAAGAACAAACGGTTCAGGAAGCTGTGTAATGACAGATCTGAGCCAGTAGAGGGCGACATTATGTGCTGTGTATCAACATGGTGGAAATTAGCGCTTTAGCATTTGGTTTTGCTAAATTACAATGATGTATGAGGATCAATAAAGCTAGAAAGCAAACAGAGGAGTACATTTCTGCCAAAAACCTCAAAAAGTTTTAGATTAAATCAGAAATTTTCACCCCTCCAAAAAACAACTAAAAAAAAAAGCAGGAAATGACTGACTTCCATAAGTTTCAAATTTGCGACAAAAAAAGTCTGAAATTTTGAGACTAGTCTCACATGTTGTAGAAAAACTTAGAAATTTCTGAGTTTCAGAAGTTGAAAATGTTGAACTTCTGAAACTCAGAAATGTAAAGTTTTTTTAGTTCAGAGATTAATCTCAACATTTCTGAGTTTCTTCTGGAAAATGTCCTCAGGAATTGGTCCTGAAATTGTCCGTCTGGAGCCGCCTCTGGACACCGCTGGTCTGCCGTGTGTTTGGGCGACAGCAGCCTTTCAGCCTGGTCTGCGTCTTTTAATCAGACATTACAGGATTTAGTGTTAGTCGGATCTTCATCTCAGATTTATTCTGCAGATTTTCTAACATTTGTTACGAAGCAGCTGATTGGCTGAGAGGAGAACCTTTGACATGTTTGGTCATCAAACCCGATTCAGAAAGACTCGAGGTGACATGCAGAGACGTGGAATCACTGATGGGATTATTTGGGATTAAAAGCGAACAGAGGTTCTGTCTGAGTCGGGTTCTACCTCAGGGGAGGGGCGGACGGGTTCAGGCCCGGGAGGAAACCAGACCCACATCCTCTGCGTTTGTCCCGGCTTGTTAACATATTGACACAATAACATGAACAGTGAAATTCAGACACATATAAACATGAACATGGCAGTAATCAGGACTTAATGACAGAAAGTCAAGCTGTTATGCTAGCTAAAGCAGCAATATGCAGGGGAGGGATCTGCTATTTGTATGGAAGAAAATACTTGAAAATAAATCAGCTTGAAGTTTTGCTACTCTATGTCAGCTTGGGGGTAAGCTAAGTGTGCTAAACGTCTTCAAAGATAAGCTAAAAATGAGGATCAGTGGAAGTTCTTATTTGGGAAAATAAGAAGTGACCGTCTGATCATGCAGAGCCGCGGTTAGCGGCTTAAAACCTGCCTGGACTTGAGTCTTCAGAGTGCGAGTCTAAGACAAGTCCAACAAATCTGTTGTTGCAACTAAACCGCTAAAGTCTGAAGCACGAGTCTCCATCTGTGCAGGCCAAAGCCTCTCTGGTTGAAGCTCCAGTCTTCACCAGCAGGGGGAGACACTTGCACAGCAAGTACAAACTACTGTTGCAGATTAAGGTTGTGTCGGTTGCCATGCCAACAGGGCAGAAACCCTTCATCTCTGCTGCTTGGACGTTTCTGTACCTTTTGGACGGGTCTTGTGCGTTCTCCTGCTCGGACTCTCGTTTGGATTTTTGCCATTCTCCGGTCCGATTCCTCTCACTTCTGACGAGGAGATGTACTCAAAGTCCGACCCATCCGCCACGCTCAGGCTGCTCCGGACTCTGCTCGGTGCCGGACGCTCTGCGCCGGGCTGGACTCCCTTCAGTCCTGAGGAACTTTGGGTTTCCAGACCCGAGTCCTTTAAAGACTCCTGACGCCTGCGCCTGGTCTCCTCTGCAGGACCAGCAGGAACGGCTGCAGGTGTTTGTGGGTTCTGGTTCTTTGGCGGTTCTGTTGACCTGGGATCAGGACTCGTTCCAGAGGGCAAGGCCATCGCAGATTGGTTGGAAGTGGCAGGAGTTTGGACCGCCTCCAACGGCTTCTTTGATTGGCCAGAACTTCCTGGATGGGAGGGCGGATCTTCCTGGATTGGTGTCATTCCAGATGTCTTCTGTGATTGGCTAGAGAGAGGGAAGTCGGGGTCCTCGACAGCCTTTGACCTCCGTATGGTCCCGGGACGAGCTGAAACACAACAATGGCTCCAGATTTAGAGCTGAAGATCCAACAGGACGTCACTGTTTAGCTGACAGTTAGCGCCCAGCTAAAGACACGTTGACTCATGATGTCACGCCCCCAACTTTCTGCTGGAGGGCAAAAAGCTGCTGGCTAACAATGACTAGTATTGGTGTTAGCTGTTAAGTTGTCAACATAATGGGGTAAAACTGAAATGAACACCTGATATTTAAAAGGAAAAGGGACGCGGGGCAAGGTCAAGTAAAAGTTTTAATAAAAAAAAAAGAAAATGAGAGGAAAGTAGCTCAGCTATGCTAGCCTGACTATGACAACTTTAACATGTAGATGTGCTGCAGAATTCATTGTGTTTGAGTTCAATTAAAAAGCAAAACAAACGTCGACCCAGAGACCAACTCTGACAGATCATCTGTAGAGCAGGAGTTTAAATCAGCTAATCAAGCGCTGCTGTTAGCTTAGCCAATAGCAGCGGTGGCTAGTCTACCACAGTGACCACTCATTAATAATGTCAGAACAAACATAAAGCCAGAAAACAATAATTCAACAGACCAAATGCAGCAAATGTTTGCTTGTTTTTTGGTGTTGAATCCTGATGCATTAGTGGAGCTGTTGTCAGTCAGTTGCTATGGAAACAGGTCTGTTTGAAGCGTATGATTAGTTCTGAGTTATTAACGGTTTTTCTCGTTATTTTCGGCTGTGGCGCTCTGAATCTCCTGGTTTCATTTAGTTAACAGTTTTACTGCAGCAGCGCCGCTATGGATGGAAAATCGTCTTTTTTTCCCTCCATCGTTGTTTGCATGCGTGACATTTCGGGATGTAAACCATACCGTGCACCGTGCCTGCAGGAACAGGAAGTGACCCCCGGCGCTGCCCCCTGCTGCCCCTGCGGGACGGCGTTCTGGTCTTCTTCAGGGCGTGGCCCTTCCGGATCTCGGCCATCAGGTTGTCAATGATGCAGCCTTCGTTCTGCAGGTTCACCTCCCTCTTGACTACAAGACGAGCATCGGTCACCTGCAGCCACGCCTCTTCTCTGATTGGCCAAGGTGCTGCTGGAGGCGGGACTCACCCATCCTGCCGGAATCTCCTTTCAGCTGCTTCTCCTCCTCTCTTTTCTTCCTCTTCTTCTCCAGCTCTCTCCGGTTTTCGTTCTCCTGTCAGGTGAAAACGACCCGGATGTTTTGTTTTGTGATGATGTCATCCTGATGATGTCAGAAGCACCTGTGATCAGCTGCTCACCTTGAGAGCTTTGAGGAAGAGCCCTCTGAAGGTCTTGATGATCCCAAAGAGGTCGTCGAGGGAGAAGGTGGCGACGTCTTCGCACAGGTAGTCCGCCAGGTCCCGCCTCCTGTCCTCCACAGAGGTCATGACCTTCTGCAGCTGCTCACACACCTGCAGGCTCTCCTGGAGGAAAAGGAAAACCGTCACGATGCGAGTGAGACGAGGCGACGACGAGGGGGCGGGGCCTAATGACTCACCTGGATGGCAGACAGGTACTGCTCCTTTATGTCCTCAGAGGAAGAGGAAACTTTCTTCTCAGAGCTTTTGAGCCGTTTGAACAGAGAGGAGTACTCAGACTGGATGGACTCCATGCTCACCCTGCAACCAGAACAGGAGAGTTCACTCCAGAGTTCACTCCAGTTCACTCCAGAGTTCACTCCAGTTCACTCCAGATGGAGAATTAATTGTAAATCAGGCTCTTCAATGTTTTCAGCCCAGGACCATCTGCTGGTCAGCTAGCTAGCTACACAGACACAACACAGCTACCTAGATAGCTAGATAGCCAATTTGTAAGATAATTAGCTAGTTTTACACTAGGCACTCTGTGCAATAACGCAGTTTTTTATACAAATGGTTCACTAATCGGCTGCTGCCACAAACAAACTGTGATTTTACATCAACACTCGTTTAGTTCGCTCACTAAAGGAGTGGATTTTGTCTAAAATAGATTTTATGCCTCATTTTGTTACGTTAATTTATTTACACAGATCTCCCAGGATCATAATGACACATAAAGACCTCCGTTTGAAATGGAAACTCATTTCTTTAAAATGAATAAATGTGAGTGGAGATCAGTTGGTCTGTTTACCCAGAAGCCTTTTCACAGATCTGCAGGTCATCAGGCAGGTTGAGCAGGTCCGGATGGTCCTTCTCCACCTCCTGGGGTCAGATTAAAGTCTCAGGTTATCTAATCTGTGTCCAGCATGAGCAGCGTGAGCAGAGCGCCCCCTGCCTGTACCTCCAGGATGTGGTGCAGCAGCGTGATCCTGGACTTGTTGGCTTTAGTTTCACTCAATCGGAGCAAAGTGCCGATTTTAAAGCCATCAGCGTTCCCAGTGTGGGTTCCCTGAAGCAAAAATATTAAATGACAGCAGATTACAGCCGATTGTTCACCTGGATTCAGTCGTGTGTCCGGAAACAGAAAGCGGTTACATAGTTGAGGAAGTTCCCGACGCTGAGGATGAGTTTGCAGAAGCCGGGCAGGCGGCAGCTCTCCCTCACACCTGAACACACCAAACATCAGGATTTCACACGGAGAAATGAAGCATCACCTCCTGTGTCAAAATAATCAGGTTAAATATGACTGAACACGACGAAAACATAAAATCTCTACAAGCGATTTGGTCTCATTTTTAGTGCAAATATCTTAGAGCACTTGAAATCAAAAAACTTTCAGCAAATGTAGCAGCTTGTTTTTTATTAATTCCCTAAAATTGATGAAAAAGTTTTAGTTGCACTGGCAGACTATTTCACTTGTAACATGGGAAAAATATCTGGGTATAAATGAATTTATCTCATACTTTTTAAATCAATTTTAAGGAATTATTTACTAAACATCAGCTCCTATATTTTCTGAAACGTTACTGGTAAGTTGGTCAAATGTGCTGAGAAACTGGCAAAACTTTCTTCCTGTCTGAATCTGAACTCTGGTTGTTCACATGAGCAGCAGGGGGCGCCACATCTCTAACTGTAACCCTATGGAGAACTCTTCTTCAGGTGTTTTCAGGTTTTATTTTGTGTGTAGATTCTGTTAATACAGACTTTGGCAGGCCTGGTCCAGAAGTTCAGCTTTGGGTTTCAGAGTCTCCAGCACACAGCTGCTCTCTTCACACAGCAGCATGCACTCGATCCTCAGCGCGTAGCTGCACACACACACACACACACACACACACACACATCAGCAGGAGACAGGCGTGCAGGTGAGAAATTACTTCAGCAGACAGGTGGCGCTGTCCTCTTACCTGGGCAAGTTCAGCAGCTGCAGGTAAAACTGATCCACTGACGCCATCTTGTCTCTGTCTTCCTGGTGGGACTTCAGGTTTTCTATCTGAGGACAGACAGGTGAGGCGTCAAACAACGTGTGGACAAGTGGAACAGCTGCAGGTAAGCAAAGCCCCGCCCCCTGACCCAATCTGAAAGCTTCCTCTGAAGTGGGCGGAGCCAATACACACAGATGGGCGTGTTAACGGCTTCCTGTCAAAAAGCAACTAGCGACAAATATAGCAACTTATTATTTTTAAAATAATAAGTTTTTTCCCCCAAAAAATTGACCATCAAGAAACTTTTTCAAACAGTGAATTACAAAATTTTTCAAAAAAGGCAACTAGCGACAAACCAGCGATTTTTTTCTGTGTTTGGCGCGAGTTATCGCTCAGGTGATGGGGGAGCGTGCTCAGCGTCTGCTGAACTCTGACCTCGTGTTTCTCTGGAAGCAGTTTGATCAGCTGTTCGAGGATTTCCACATCGAACTTGGACCGGTCTCCGTTCTGGATCAGAGACACAAACTCCTCATGGGAACTTCAGCAGAAACGGAGCAGAAGAATCAATCAACGACTGAAAACCAGGAAGTGCAACCAAAGGAGCGTTTCTATTGGCCGGCGCCTCACCATCTGAACTGCTTCAGGAAGATGTTGAGGTTCAGGCTTTTCTTGGCGTCAATGAACGAAATCTGCGGACAAGGAGACAACAGACAGACAACGGGTCAGATGATGCCTTCAGGACCACAGAACCTGAACCGACGTTTCTCACCTCTTTGGACTCCGTTCTGGTCTTGGTTCTGGTTTTGGCGTCAGTGGGAGGCAGACTGAAGAGCTGCTCGATGCTGCAGTAATCTGGTTCCACCGACTCTGACGATGATGATGTCCAGAGAGACTGATGATCTGTGGACAGACGAAGAGTCCAGAACCTGACCGGGTCCAAACAACTCAGAGTTAAGGTAGGAGAACGTCCGCTAGCTCACCGGTTACCACTCTGGACGGGAGTTTCTGCCAGTTCAGCTTCTTCATCCGCAGGGAGGGGCAGGGGGCGGGGCTTGAATGGTGGGCTGGGCTAAAATAGCCGCTGCCTAAAGTCGGTGCTGAATGAGCGGTGATCATTTCCATTGGTGGAGGCGGTGGGATCCCCATGCCAGGTAAAGGTGGAGGCGGTGGAGGTCCGGCGCCTGGTAGTGGAGGCGGAGGAGGCGGAGGAGGTGGAGCTCCAATGCCAGGTAAAGGAGGAGGAGGTGGAGGAGGTGGAGCAGATCCTGTGCCTGGTAAAGGTGGAGGAGGTGGTGGAGGTGGAGGAGGTGGAGGACAACCGGCTGCAGGGGGCGGAGCCTGTTTCTCTGCTAACGGCTGTAATTGGCCAGGAGGCCAGCTGAGCGTTCGGGTCTGCACCGCCCTGTCCACCATTCTGACCTTCTTATTGGATGACAGATGTTTTGTGGGGAAGAGCCTATCCAGCAGCGAATCACCGGGGCCTAAATCAGCTGGAAACAGATTCAGACACGCTTACATCCGGTCAGTCATCCCTCTGGACCCGCCTTCTGACCCAGAACCTGAAACCGGACTCACTGTTCTGGGCCAGCAGCGTGGCTCGATCGGTCAGCGCCTCCAGAGCCAGCCAGATGTCGTTTCTCTTTGGGTCCACCATCGACAAGGCCTGAAGGATGGAGAGCAGCTGGACTGAGGACGGACAGCTGGACACCTGGACACAGAGACCATGGAGACGACTTTGAGACACAACCCGGTTCTTCACCTCAGCAACAACCAGGAACAGTCAATGGTCAGAACCGCCAGCCGAAAAGTTAGCTATGCCAGCCGAAAAGTTAGCTACGCCAGCCGAAAAGTTAACTACGCTAGCCGAAAAGTTAGCTACGCCAGCCGAAAAGTTAGCTACGCCAGCCGAAAAGTTAACTATGCTAGCCGAAAAGTTAACTATGCTAGCTGAAAAGTTAGCTACGCCAGCCAAAAAGTTAACTATGCTAGCTGAAAAGTTAGCTACGCTAGCCCTAACGCACTAATCACGAAATTAGTTCTAATGCTACAGTTAATGCTAATGTTAAACTGCTATATCAACATGGTATTTAGCAGAAGTTAATGCTAACGATTTGGGCACATTTCTGCTAATGGCAGAGTTAATTTTTAGCTTAGCATTTTGCTCATTTTGAAAACATTTAGAACATCGAGGTTCCAGAAAAATTTTTTTTTGATAAATTTGCTAATTTACTTTCAGATCAATAAAGTTTGGTTATGAGCTGCTGAGAATTATCCAATTATTTAGAGGTTTATTCATGCTCTTATTTTGAAGAACCTCCTGGAGAAATTTCTTTGAGGTTTCTGAGGAGGAATGTTGTTATTTTTGTTGGTGAGGAAGCTGAGCTGATGAAGAGGAGCGGACAGACCTTGGCGAAGAGCAAACTGAAGACTTCCTGGTGGCTGCTCATGTCGATCCCGCCGTACAGTCTCTCCATCTCCTCTTCATCGTCCGCCATGGAGTCTTCGAACGCATCGCACTGGATGTTGAGGTCCATGTCCTCCGTCTCTCTGGAGACGGACGCAGAGACGTCACAACGCCGCCGGACTCTGGCTACGGAAGCCATCAGAAACATTTACCTCAGCTTGGGGAGCAGATCTAGCAGCTGCAGCCCTGAAACACAGCAAGCGTCATGGTGAGACTCAGAGCTTAGAGTCCAACACGTCCAACACGTCCAACGCCTGTGGACCAGATCAAAACGCTCCAGCAGTCCGGTTAGCAGTGAGGACCAGACCCGCTGGCAGACAGCGATGGCATCGTTTGAATTTGAACCGTTCATCTGCACAGTTTAAACTCATCAACTTTAATTCTAGGAGATTTTTGCCTTTTATGAACTTCACGTTTTTTCCACAGTTACAGTTACAGGTATTTAAATATCAGACAAATGTGCTGAAATATAAATGTTATAAATCTTCTTTACATTTTGGCCAGAGACGTTTATTTTTAAAAAGCTGATAAAAATACAAACATAAAGGATCACATCAACTGAATAATCTACACCATACACGGCGATTATGTTTAAAAATAGACAATAATCCATAAAACTGACCAATGTGGACTTCTGAATTCAATTATTGCAAAAAAAATCTTTATAAAAATTGTTTTGCTAAGTTTTCTGGCATTTAGAAATAATTTTATTAATTAAAACAAGAAAAGTTTGGTCTGATTTGATTGCAGATGGTGAAATAGAAACATGTACGTCTCTTTTTATTTTCTTTTTATGTACAATGTTTGACTTTTCAAACTCAAATTCTCCTGTTTTTTTTCCCATAAAGATTTGCTCGTCCTTTTCTTATTCCTTTTTTTACTGTTGAATGTAAAACCTGAGATCAGCGAAAGGCCAAAGAAAACATCTGAAACCTGAGAACATCTGGAGGATGTTCTGATCAACTGGAGCCAAACGAGACAGAAAAGCACAGAATGAGTCTAAACTTGCTGACATGAACTCATGATGTTCCTGTCACATCTGCTCACTGAGCGTCAAACATGATCCATCATTAAAAACTTGTCTGAACCTGATAGCAGCAGAATTTCCCACAACTGTTGTATGTTTGAAATGTTTGAGCTTGTTCTGCATCTACAGGCAGCCTGTTCCCCTCCTGGCCTGTGGGGGCGCTGCACCACTGAAGGAAACATGAAAACCTCTGAAGACGCTGAGCGCAACTTCCTTCTTCACTAAATAGAAACAAAATGGAGGCGTCAGATTTTTTCTTTTTGTCTCTGGCTAAAGACCACGACTCATTTCTCCTGCTAGCGCTAGGCTAGCACGTTTGTTTAAACGTTTTACATCATCATGTCGAATATTTAACATCTTCGACTCCAATAGTTTATTTTCTGGAAGTGATTCATCCAGGACTAAAGAATCTCTGTGTATTTTTGTTTCAGACCACAGATTTTACGACTTGTAATTTTGTGAGAGTCATAATCGTTTCATAATTATTCATGACCTGAAGGGAAACCACAGCCTGGTTTCATAAACAACCTGACTGGCATGAACCTTACAAGCCGTCACTGCTCTGTTGGCTACAGAGAAAGTTTTATTTCTGCTCCCAGCCAGTCATATTTCTGAATAAAATGAATGCTGATTGGCTGAGGAGCGCCAAGCTCCGCCCATCTGCTGGTCCGTACCGATGAACTCCTGTCTGAGTCGCTGTCTCTTGTGCAGGTCTTCCTGTCCCAGGATGAGGACGTTGATGACGGCCATCATGGTGACCATGTAGGGGACGCTGTCAGTGGCCTGCAGTTCGTTCATGATGACGCTGAAGCGATACTGCTGCTTCTTCAGAGTCTGGAGGCGGAGACACAAGAACGTCAGATCCGAAACGACCGAATCAGATCCGAAACGACCGATTCAGATCCGAAACGACCGATTCAGATCCAAAACGACCGATTCAGATCCGAAACGACCGATTCAGATCCGAAACGACCGAATCAGATCCAAAACGACCGAATCAGATCCAAAACGACCAAATCAGATCCAAAACGACCAAATCAGATCCAAAACGACCGATTCAGATCCGAATGACCGATTCAGATCCAAAATGATTGTTTATACAAAACAATTAATTTGAAAAATAAAAATATTTTAAACTAACAAAGTTTTGAAATTGGAAAAAAAATTAACTGAAAAAAAAAAATGTTAAAAACTACTTTTCAGGTTCAATGTTTTTTTTTTTCCAGTTTCAGACATTTTTTCTTTTGAACAAGCTTTATGGCCCTGATCTCTCTCCGTAGGTCTGCTGTGCTCTGAACGGACAGAGGAAGCAGAGAGCAGCTCCGTTTCCCGCTGAGGGTTTGGGCGGGTCAGAACCGATCAGTCTGTTATCTGCTGCTGCGCCGCGATCCCGCTGACAAAGGCAGCGATGAAACACTGATATCAGCGGAACGGCTCGCCTTGCAACAACACCAAACCCGAGCCAAAAGAACATTTGAGACGCTACCAGTTCAGACATTTATTTTCACCAGAAAAACATTGAAGAGGTTTGGAAAGAAAAACTCCTGGAGGCTCTGAACCGACTGACTGCATGGTGGAAAACCAGCGGCACAGCAGAAATACTCTAAAAACAGCAACATTTCTACCGACGTTTATCCTTCCACTCAACTTTCTACCAAAATACTTTGTCATCAGTAGTCTTCCTCATGACCATTACATCAGATTATTGATCAGTAACATTCTGATTTCCTGATAAACTGATGTTTGGGTTGTTCTTTACTTAAATTTATAATCATTAAAAAAAATAAATCAACAGTAAATTAAGTTTTAACTATATTTAAAATTTAAAACTTTCTGCTGCGAATAAGAAGCTGAAAGTTACACTGTCAAATAGTTTGGGTTATTTAGTCTGTCATAAGAGGAAAAAGTCATAATTTCATCAAATTATTAATTTATAACTTGAATAACTTGATTAAATATTTAATTTGGATAGTTTAGTTCAGTTTAGTTTGTATAGAAGCTTTTATTTTGATGGTCTGCTTCCTATTATTGGCAAGTTAATTTGCTAAATAGCTCTACATCTAGATCCAACTAGCTAAATATTTAGCTACATCTCTGCTATATATTTAGCTTGACTATGTAGTTTCTGAAGCTAACTATTTAGCTCCAAGAAAACTGTTTAGCTTGGAGCTAAATAGGTAGGTTTTTAGATATTTAGCACCAAGCTAAATATTTATCTAGCTTGCTAGCTATTTATTTAGCTAGTCAGCTAGCTAAATAAATATTTAGTGAGGAAGCTTAGTGCCATTTAGCTTGGAGCTAAATATTTAAATTTGAGCTGGTAAACTAAATCTTTAGCTCGCTAACTAAATACTGGATTAATGAGTAACAGTTTAAATATGGCTGATGAATTAACTCCCATTTTTTCCTCTTAGGGTAAATAACTCAAATTATTGCTGTTAATTTTTGCCTGTATAACTTTACAAACATCACCGATCCGTGAAGAAGGTTTCAGTTGGTTAGCCATGCTGTGAGATGTTTAGGATGCAACTATCAGTTGGATTCAGAGCAGAAGTTTAGCAGACAGATCGGATGCAGAGGGAACCAGAGGAAGCAGGAAACTCAGCATGTGTGGCGAACCTTGTAGTTCTCGAAGGCGTCCAGGGTCAGGCTGCAGCCCTGGGGGTCAAAGAGGGCGAGCGCCGCCAGCAGCTCAAACACCTGCATCTTCACCATCACGTTGGACGTGTCCAGAGCTGCAGGGGGACACATGGACAGGAGGTCAGAGGGCAGCGGCTCGGTCCACCAGCAGGCCGGCGCCGGGTCGGTCCCATGTTGGGCGCCAATCAGAGGGATGAGGCATATTACAAGAGTAAATCAATCAGGACTCCGTCAGTTAGTTCATCTGAACATTCAAGTTCTACAGTCACAGAAATCTCCACTGGTTAAAGCTTCTCAGTTTTACTGCATTGGAACCGAAGCAGTCCGGTCTCTGTCCTCACCGGTCCTCTGACCCGCTCTGTACCCAACCCTTCTGTAGCTCCGTCTCTAAATTAATCACATCTGAAGTATTTCAAACCTCGATTATGAAATGTTTACGGTAACGGCTCCATTCATCTGCCAACATTCTGCCAAGTTCTGACTCCTTCCTAACCTCTCAGGCTACGACTTGTTTCCCCATTTCATTTAATAATATTTAGTTCCAACTTTAAACCGGATCAGAATGATAAGCAGAAACTTTCCTCAGGTTTTATCAGACAGCTGGTTTCACAGCCACTTCCTGCTTCCTGTTTCCTATTCCGGGAAAACAGGAAGCAGGAACCAGAGAAAGGTTCAGGCAGGGAACAAACTGAACTGGAACCAGAACCAGGACCAGGACTGGAACCAGGACCAGGACCAGGACCAGGACTGGAACCAGGACCAGTCAGATGAACCGACCCGTTTCCTCTGCATGGATCTCATGACGGCAGAAATGTTGCAGAGCTGCATTTTTGAAGTGCCGCAGCTGCAAGTTGTCATGGCAACCAACGGGTCGAGCTGCTTCCTGATGATATCGGACCCGCAGCAGACAGAACCGGGCGGCGGCACCCACCCTGCGCCAGGGTCCGGATGTATCCCTCCTCATTGTCCAGGATGAAGTCGAGTCCGGCGGACGAGTTCATGACGCTGCGGATGCACGACACGCAGGTGAGCTGCAGCAGCGCGTCGGTGATGCGGGCGCAGCCGCGGCCCGACAGCCGCTCCAGCGCCGCCATCAGCAGGTCCAAACCCTGCAGCTCCAGGAACTGGACCATCCACGGCTCGTCGCTCTTCTCCAGGCGCCGCCGCAGACCCGAGTAGTTCACCACGGTGGGAACCTGCAGGCAACACGCCGCCACAGCGCTGAGCTCATCAGGACTACGGCTGAAACAATTAATTGATTACTTAAATGATTAACTTTTTCAGTAATCGATCAATCGCCAAGTTCCATGGAGCTTAGCCTTGTCTGGTTCCAAAACAAACCAGGAAGTCAAATTCTGATGGAATTAAAACCATCAATCTCAGGCTGAGTCAATTAATCATTATTAATCATTTACTGAAATGATCAACTAATTGAGTAATCGATTAATCGTTAAGCTACATGGAGCCTTAGCCTTCCTTGGTTCAGGAAGTCAAACTCGGAATGAATTACAGCCATCAAACTCAGGCGATTAATCGTGATTAATCTATGTTGAAATGAATCGTCAACTAATTTAGAAATCGATTAATCGTTAACTGGAGCATCGCCGCCTGGAGGAGGTCGTTCCCATGGTGATGGTTCCTACCTGCAGCAGGCGGATGCACAGCTCCGGGTCGGCGTTCTCCAGGTTGGCCTCCAGCGATCCGTCCGGGTCGTCATCAGGACCTCTGGTTACTCGCTCCTTCACCGCATCCCATCTGGTTCTGGACGCCATGACGACGGGATTTTGCAGAATCTGGCCAAAGTTTATCAATCCGTCAGATTAAACGTGCAGAGAGAGGAGAAATAAACTGAGATTTCAGCTCCACTGGGAATTAATCTCTGTTTTCTGCTCATTTTTCTGGTTAAATGTTTAACTTTGCATCTCAACACGCCTGGAACCGTCAGTCACTGCTGACCTGTGACCCAGTTGGATCTGAGGAATCCAGATCAATGAGTCTCTTTGTTCGGCCTCCAGAACCGGGCCCGGCTGCAGCTCGGTTCTGAACAGCAACAGGAAAGTTTAACTGCGATAAAAAAACACTTAAAGCAGATCAGACTCGCATTTAATAAAGTTTTCAGGATTTTCCAGATTTCCGTGGGTCAGATTCCAGATGGATGGTGAAGCAGCTCCATCAGTAAATCTGGTTGTTTTTGTCGACTTGGAGTCTGAAGGCTGACCGGGAGAGCCCGTTAGCATTAGCTTCCACCAAATACATTGCTAGTGTAGCACTTTAGCATTAGCTTCCATTAATAGTCCTTTAGCCATACCACTAAGGGTTTATCCCTTTCAGTTAGGGCTAAAGTCCTTAACTAAATGGTTTAGCTAAAGAGTTTATCTACAATGCTAAATGCACGTTAGCATTGTAGCTAAAGCACTCTAATGCTAGTGTAGCACATTAGCAATAGCTTCCACGTTGCTCTGATTACTTTAACATTCTATAAATCCTCAGGGACTAAAATAATTTAAATTTTTAATAAGATGATCCGTTTGCCTGTCCTCTCCTCTGAGACGTTTATCGATATGAAAACAGAAGTTACAGCTCATCGTTACGGTACGGAGGAGGAGGAATCATGCTGTGGTGCTTCATAACTCCCACATGCATGTCGACATTTTAACGCTCCTTATGACACGACGCTCAGTATGTTTCAGATGTTTCAGTGTCTCCACCTCACACTAATGACGGATTATTACTAATCACCTGACAAACACCTGATCGGTTCTGAACCAAACCAGGAGTTCTGGTTCTGATCCGACCCTCAGTGTCATGGTCCATGTCTCCTCGATTCTTACAGGAAAACACAGATTGCAGCAATAATTTCTGTAGGAGGTTGGGAAACACTGAATTCCTCTGTGTGAGTGTGTGTGTCTGTGTGTGTGAGTGTGTGTGTGTGTGTGTGAGACATTCCTCCATGACAGACGGGGTGGAGCTCAGATTCCTGTGATGAAGGCAGCAGGTCAGATTGAGATTCTGATGAAATATTTTAATTATTATCAGGAAACGATGAAAAACACGATGACGTCTGTTCTGGTTGCACTTTACAGCCTCTAGAAGTGTCTCTATAGAAAATCATTAAAATATGACGAGGAAAAACAAGACCTTTAATATCCAATTATAAAATATAAATTTACAGTTTAGGAGCCGTAAATGTGAAGTAACATTTATAAACAGTGACGTGTATTTCTGGGTCCAGAGCTGGAAAATGACCCAAAGGACAGAAAATCAGCACCAAAATGACTTGAGTCCACAGTGGTGAACATGCTAATGCGCTAACAGCAGAGCCAGTTTTTGCCTTCAGCTTTAGCGGTTCAGCTAACCAAATGTTTCACTGTTAGTGAGGCGTTTAGCTTTAGCAGCACATGTTTCTGAGTTCAGGGTTAGCGCAGCTGACCGAGTGGATCCTCAGAACCTCGACAGAACTAATCTGTCCTCAGCCACAACTTAACGTTTCACATTTCTGTCTGACATGAAAATGGTGTCAGAATATTCTAGAAATAAAAACCTGGGAAGAAAACTAGTCCTAACAGCTCCTTTAGAGGTCAAAGGTCAGAACCAAAATCCAGCTGTTTTTCATTTAATCCGAGTCTGACTGCAGATGTTCTGGTTCTGTAGAAAACAACCAGAATCATGAAGACTACAGAACCCTGCAGGACGAAACGCCCTAAACATCCAGCCACAGATATTCTGGGATGGTTCAGATCAAAACAGATTGTTAGAATGGTCTAGTCAAAGTCCAGACCTGAATCCAAATGAGGAGAACCTGTAGATGTTCTGCTCCTCATAAATTCCCAATGAAAGAGTAAATATTAAATGTAACAACATGTGGGAAGTTAATGGGGTGTGAATACTTTTTAAGGTGAGCTTTGGGACCCATATGGGGCCCACTCACACCGACTGTCCCCCTGACGCTGACAGGACAGAAATCTGATTAAAATCACACAAAGTTAAGATTGTGGGTTTAAAGTCCATGTTGACTCGAACTGATCGGTTAATCGAGCTGAAGGACCAAAGACAGAGTCCATAACGCTGGTTCCGATAACGCCAGAGTCCAGCCGCCTCCAATCAGAACCCTGAGAGTGATGAAGCTCTGCTCGCACCTGAGGAAACTTTACCCGAGTGTCGACAGGTAAAACAAAACATCCGGTTCTAACGGGACGGGATGCAGTTCGGTTCCGTTAAAACTTAGAGAAGTTCAGAAACAAACAAACCAGCGTTTGGATTCAAACGGACCCAGCGGCGTTCTGCTCTAAAAGCCCCAAACCAACCAGCAAACCAGGAAGAACCGAGTCACCGCACCGAACCGAGCCGGTCGGAACCAGCGGGACTCCTTACCGTGAGGACCGCAGTTCGGCTGGGTCAGGATGAAGACTGCGGTGGAAACGGAGCATCAGAATCACGGCAGCTGATCTGCAGGGACTCCGCCTTCAGTGGGCGGGGCCACGGGATGGACAATCTGTAATCAATAATCAATAATCTGCCCCGATCCGCAGGACGACGGGA